TAACGTTACGCGTTTTTCCCTTCGATTATCAACAAACTATCTGATCATTAATGTAAAATTTAGGACATATGAATCAAATCTAGATACATCTGATCTCCCATTATTAGCGGTCACATGTAGCATTATTTGTATCAAAACTTTGTATTTGTATTCCAAAAAATTTTTTTTAATTATTTTCTTTAAAAAAAAAAAAAAATAATTCTAGAAAACTTTTTTGTCCAACCCTTTTTTTTTTATTTGAGTGATATTGTTTTTTTTTTTTATTATTTATTTTTAAACAAAAAAGAACTGTTTGTATATCATTTTAACTAAATTAATATTTTTAATAGAAACCATAATAGGTTAAATTCGAGGTCAGATGACAAACCAGTAACAATACCTGAAATAATTTTGCATTATCCTTCCAAATGTAGTTAATAAGCTATTATTAGCTAATTTAAAATGAATATTGTTTTAACAAATGTAACAAAGCATGACTGGTGAATCTTTGACTTTTTATGAGAGATTATCGGTATGTCACAAACTGCACTTGTTTGTTTGTACAACAAATTCTAGATGCGAGGGATATCTTGCTAACTGCGCTGAAAAAAAAAAAAAAAGATTTCAAAGAATAATATATATAATTTATCATCAATTCATCAAATTCACAAAAAAAAAAAAAAAAAAAAATTTTTTCTCTCTCTCCTTTTTTTTTCTTCTTTTCTTCTTTTTCTTTTTTGTTTAAGTTTCATTGTCCAGTCTCCCAAATAAGGAATCATTTGTCATAATTAGTTTCTTTGTGGTTTTAGGTTGTGGACACTTTCGGTGCTTGAATTCCGAATTCTCAACATTATGAATGTAACCAGATGATGGCGGTCCATTGGATGGCACAAAACCGGTTTTCAGCTCGAATTTTGGTTAGAATCCTCGTCGATCCTCGGTTACGTTCTACAAGTTTTTGTTTCGCCGTACGAAAAATGAATGGAGACCGCCCACCTGCATGTCATGTAAATTTTGGTCATTTACCTAGTTTCTAGGTTTTCCAATGATATTGAAACACAAAAATCTCATTTATTTTTTTTTATTTTTATTTTTATTTTTTTATTTTTTAAAAAAATTCTCATCTTCTATCTATAGGATAAATTTTTAAATTTTGATATCTCGTAGAATATTGTTGTATGAGTCTTGGATATTCTATATCATTCATATGAGTTTCTTCAATCCTTAACGTTTTTAAAGGTGCTTTACAAGATTTAAAAAAAATTTCTAAACCCTTCAAGGTGAACTTAAAATTTAACGTTAGATGGGTTAATGAAGGGGGTAAATATTCTCCAAACATTTCCAATAATTGATCGTTGAGACTCGTGAATTTTGATTTTGATGTTCTAATCTCCAATCGTTTTAATTCATGTTTTTTACTCGCCCAATAAAATAAATGTGAATGTATTACAGGTAAATTTATATTCATAGAGAGGTAATTAATGTTATGAAAATTATCCGTTAAAACTTGTATGGTACTGATCGTAAAATCATCAATTATTAAATCCTTTAATGATTCCCCACTATTCTCTCCAATGATCTGTATTAATGTTATCGTTATGTTCGGTTCCCACTTGTTATCTAATAATTTTAACCCTTCAATTTGAAATGTTGAATTGGAAAATTCTTGACAATGATTTATCGTAAGTTCATTACAAAAGTTCATCGTTAATGATTTTAAATTATGACATCTCATCAATCCCTCCAATGAAAATCCCGTGAAATCAATCAACGAAAAGGTTATTGTGTTCAAAAAATTGGCTTGATATAATTCTAAATATGGAATGATTCTTCCAAAATATTTTCCCCCTTTATTTATTGTGAAAACTTTTAAATTCCTTTGCGTTTTGATAATATTCACTAAAAGTGATGTATCGATATCTTTTCCAAAACTAAAATATAATTCTTCAATCTTAAAGCATAACGTTGGTAACCTCTTCAATAAATCGATAAAATTTGGATACCTCGCGGGGTGAAAATGTCCCAATTTAAATTGTAAACTTTTCAAATTGGTTATACCAGGTTGTACTTTTGTAAAAATCCTCGAATCTGGAAGATCCGAGTTATAATTAATGTTAAATGTACGTAGATTTTTACTATGACGCATAAACATTAAACACATTTGTTTAAAAATTAAGTGTACAAGTTCCGGTTCCTTTTTCCAACTCTTTATCGTCTGAAATATTTGATAATCATTAAATTCTTGCAAGAATTCCGCGTATTGAAATAAAGGTTTCACCGTTGTGTCAATCTTCAAATCGTGAGCTATCAAGGTATTTGCTTCCTCCTCATTAAGACAAGTGATATACGTTCGAAGTAATCTGTTCCTTTTATTAAAACTTATCTCGCTAAAAGGTCGTTTCCATAGTAAAGGAATTGTAAGTCTACACCATTGTCTGCAAATAAAAAGGCAATTGTATAAATTAAGTTTGTCATCTTGAAGATGTTTTATAATTTGAATAATAACGTCTTCGTTTAATACCAGAAGTGGCATGTTCGATTAAAAAAAAAAAAAAAAAATAATAATAATAATAGTGAAAAAAAATTAATGGAAAGAGGAAAAAAAGATAACCGTAAACGCTTATTTAGTTTCACATTTTATGCAATCCCCAAAAGGTTTTGTATTACCCAAAAAACAAATCAAAGTTGGATCGATCGACAACCTAAATCAAGGTTCATTGCCAATTTTGTTTTAAAAAATTTTTTTTTATTTTCCCTCTCCGTTAAAAAGAATAATGGCAAATTCTCAAAGAAAGTCTTATGTAATTGGTGTTGGAATGACCAATTTTATCAAGCCACGCGGCCAGGTTGATTATCCCGGTAAGAACCCATAAATAAAACTTTTGATTTTAACCGCTTGGATTAAAAAATTTACATATTCTCCTTAATAGTAATGGCTCGTGAAGCCGTTGTCAAAGCACTTTTGGACATTGAAAAAACTTATGATGTAATTCAACAAGTGTATGTAGGGTATTGCTTTGGTGATAGTACTTGCGGACAACGTGCTGTTTATCAGCTTGGCATGACTCAAATTCCCGTTATGTAAGATATAATTTAATTATTTTTTTTTTTTTTTTTTTTTTTTTTTTTTAGCAAAACTAAGTCATTTAGTTACTTTGGCTAAAATCAATGATATTTTTCAAAAGTAACGTAAATAATAATTGTTCAACTGGATCAACCGCATTGTACTTGGCTCGTCAAGCTGTTGAATTCGGAATCGTTGATTGCGCTCTTGCCTTAGGTTTCGAGAAGATGACAAGTGGTATGTATAAGTTTTTTTGTTTTTTGAAAATTTACCATTTCAAAATATTTTCGTGAATTATATTATGTATTTATAGGGTCTATCGCAAATTACTATAAGGATCGCACCAACCCACTCGGTAAATATAATCTTATTAATCCTTTTGAATCCGTTTATAATTCAAAGTAAATCTATAAACTTTATTAATTGATTTAGATACTACGGTATCGCTCCTATCGGAAACTCGAGGAATAACCAATTCACCTTTTGCGGCCCAAATATTTGGAAATGCCGGCATAGAGTATTGTGAAAATTATGGTGCAACTGCAGAACACATGGCAAAGATTGGTGAAAAAAATCATCGTCATAGGTAAATTATTTATTTCCCTCAAGAAAAAAAAAAAGTTTTATTTTTTTCTAAAAATTCAAGAATCTATTTTTTAGTGCAAACAATCCGTATGCTCAATTTCAAAATGTTTACACATTAGAACAAATAAAATCATCACCTCAAATCTTTGGTCCGCTTACAAAACTTCAATGTTGTCCTACATCGGATGGATCAGCGGCTGTTATAGTAGCATCAGAAAAATTTGTCATTGAAAATAATTTACAAGGTCAAGCAATTGAAATTGTTGCTCAGGCTATGGCAACTGATTCTCCTGACTTGTTGGAAAAGAGAAGCTCAATCGAATTAGCAGGGGCTGATATGACTAGAAAAGCTGCCAAACAAGTTTATGAGCAAGCTGGTATCACTGCCGATGATATTCAGGTTGTCGAATTACATGATTGTTTTAGCTCTAATGAGGTAAGTCATACCTGAAGAAAAAAAGAGAAAATATTTAAAAGAATTCATCACAAAAGAAATAAATGTCTTTATTTTTTAGTTGATTACTTATGACGCTCTTGGACTTTGTAAACCTGGACAAGCTCACAAGTTGGTTGATTCGAATGATGTTACGTATGGCGGCAAATATGTGATAAATCCATCAGGCGGTTTAATTTCTAAAGGTCATCCTCTAGGTGCAACCGGATTAGCTCAGTGTGCTGAATTGGTATGCATATAAGCTGTGTACATATTCATTTTCTGTTTTTTTTTTAAAGCAATAATCTTATAATTAATTGATCTGATTGGAACTTTTTGATAGGTCTGGCAATTAAGAGGATGGTGTACAAATAGGCAAGTGCCAAATCTGAAATATGCGCTACAGCATAATATTGGACTTGGTGGTGCTGTCGTTGTGTCTGTTTATAAACAAGCTGAATTACAAGGTAAAAATAACGATGATAAGACAGGTTGGAAGCGAAGATTTGGTTATAATCCTGCTATTGAATCAAGAGGCATCACTGAACAGGATTTTAGAAAAGTCTGTTCAAAACAGATTAGCGAATATTTACTTGCCGCTAAATTGTAAAAAGTAATTTAATGTATTTAATGTTTAAGCTGCTTAAATAATTGTAATAATAATAATAATAAAAAAAAAAAAATAAATCAAATCATCAATCGACATCTTTTCCGAAAAGACCATTGATAAATGCCAATTTTATATGTTTGTGCAACATTTGTTGATCAAAGTCATGTCAGTTTTTCCTGATAATTTTCAAGTTTATTTTCCCTTTTTTTTTATGATGGTATCGGAAAGTTGTGTAATGTTCATTGCGCCATAAATACGGTTACAAAAATTTTTTTTTTTTTTGAAAAAAAAAAAATAAAAAAATTCTTTTCTTAAAAAAAAAAAAGACGATGTCTGAAGTTAACGTTGATCAAAAAAACATTTCCGTGCCACTACCAGCTGACTGTATATATGAAATCATTCAATACCTCATTCATGATGTGAAAACCTTACAATCATGTGTCACTATCAATCAAACTTTCTGTCAAGTTACGATTCCAATATTATGGAGTAACCCTTTTAAATTTATTCAAGATAAAGAGAAGAGAGGTATTATAATTCGAACTTATTTTTCTTGCCTTGATGAACAAGAGAAAAATCAAATCACAACATTTCTTCACAAGTCTGTTTCAGACTTTCCAAGACCTTTCATCAATTATCCAAGTTTTCTTCAAGAGTTTGAATTGTTATCGTTACAAGAATCGATGAGAGTTTTCCTCCGTCAATATTATTCAGTCTCACCAACCGAGAATCGTATTAATAGTATTATTCGTATCCTAAACCCTTTTATTGGAAAGTTATTTTTCAACGATCAAAGTAATTTCAAGTATATGAATGTTAGTTTGAGGGATTCTCTGGGATTGGAGAAGAATCAATTGGACATGAGCTCATATGGGGAAGTTCTTGAGAGAGTACTTTCGAATATCGACAAGTTTTCCTTTGGATTTCGTTTAGATATTCATAAAAAGACGGAACTTTTCACATTTATTAAGAGGAACGCGGAAAAGTTTACAAATATTATTTCACAACACAACAAGAATATTCAACACGTTTCATTCTACTTTGCGTGTTTATCACCCTACCTACGTCAGAGAAAAAACAAATTACGAAAGTTAAACATCAGCATAGAGTATGATCGATTCATTGAAATTTTGAACAATTTTATCATTTCTTTGAAAAATTTAAAATCATTGGAAATTCCTTGCTTTTGGAGGCATAATGATTTCGTCAATTTATTTAAAGGACATTCTCACTCTTTAACTTATTTAAGATTATATGAAATATTCAATTGTTCAATAGTTCTCAACATTTTAAATAATTGTCCAAATCTGAAAACGATGGAACTTATTTCTTTCACTTTTTATGATAATAAAGAAGATAATTCAATCTTTGACAAACCCATCACATCTAATTTGAATAATCTTTACATGACAATACCTTCAAATTATTTTCTCGTCTTTAAACTCTTTGAGAAAATTGTTTCAACGTCAAATAATAATCTCAAAACCCTTTTCTTTAATAAACAACAATACTATTATTCATCTTTTAATGAATTCAATAATATTACACAATTAATTCAACCATTTTGTACCAATCTAACTCATCTCTTTATCAAAATAGTCAATGAAAGGGGCATCATTTATTTCCTTAGGAACTTGCGACATCTTAAACACTTGAAGTTGGGTTGTTTCGCATACAATAATCTTAAAGTTGATAATATCACGGAATTAGCAAGATCATTCTCCCCTACTTTAAAAATTTTGGAGATCGATGCATTTATATCAGAGGAAATGTTGAAAGTTTTATTACAAGAAGGGAAGTGTGATCTCAATGAGCTTTACATAAAAGCGAACCTAAACGAGACTATTTTAAGAATTGTCATGGATTATGCAAGACAAAGAACTTCCTTAAAGATATTTAGATATTCAAATGATGGGAATCTATGTTCTACACACTATCCTTCACCCCAATTGTTGGAAGAAGCAAGGAATCTATTTACGATTGATGATAATCCGGAACCTTTTACAACTCCCTTTGTTAAATCAATTTTCTAAAAAAGAGAAAAAAAAAAACATTTAATCAGTACGTATTAATTTAACGACATTATCTTTTCCTTTTTTTTTTTTTTATTTCAATCAATTTTCCTATCATCCCTTTTACAGATATATAGTGATTTTTTTTGTGGATTTACCTTTACTTTCCTTTTACAGACTTTGTTTTACGATGTGAATTTTTTCTTTTTTTTCCTTTTCTTTTTTTTTTTTTTTTTTTTTTTTTTTTTGCGACAACCAAATTTGGACGTCAAATAATTTTTATAGTTAAAAAAGTTTAATAAGTATGTAGCGAGAAATTCATAATGCAATTAATAAAACATTGTAAATTTAGTTTATTAAATTCTTTTAAACATTTTCCTTGTTTGAAATGTTTGTGTATATTGTAAAAATAGGTAGGTTTAATTTTCTAAATTAAATTCAGCCACATTTACAAATTTGTAGATTATTAACCAATTCGGACTTAGGTTTATCACGATTTGTAAAACAATGCTCGGAAAGTTTTTTATTTAGTTCATTGTAGAAATTTTTTATTTTTTGGTTAAGTGATGACGCAATTGGCGAAAAGAAAGCAAAAGGTATAATTTATAATAAGATGTTAGAGCACCTTTTCGTTATTCGTGAGAAGGGTCCAAAGAAAAAGTATTTTATCGCAAATAAAATTTTCACGCATAAACGCTACTTTTTCACTTGACAGGACTTAGGATAACGAAAGAATTATTTGCAATGAATAAGGTTAATGGCCAGGACTTTCTCAAGATAAGCTTGAACGTCATGGAACGAAAATGAGACCTGCCTCGAAACTTGTTGATTAGAAAAGTCGAGGTCGTTCTCCTCGTACAAAAACTAAGACAGACTTTATTGAAGCATGTAATGATGGTACAATCCGTCAATTTCCATCGAGTATTATCTTCTCGGGTTTATTAACCACAAACTATTAATAAATACATACCGACTCAAAGACGACGATGACAATCTGAGGAGCATTATACCTGATAGCAATGAAGCCAGGCGGTTGTTGACTATCCTCCACGATTCGTTATTTATTGTTAAGAGAAATAACCCAAAAGATCTTACCTTGAAACTTTGACTTAAATTGTTGACGAAGAAAACGCTGGACGTGTTGATTATGCAATCAAGGCCCACGAGGAAATCACAGAAGGAAAGTTATACAATGTGGTCATTGGCTTCGATCAGAATCTGGTGCAATGCGAAATTGCGATGAAGAAACACAAAGCGGATGCTGCTTTTGGGGAGGACTTCGATTATATCTATAGAATTGTCACGAGTGGTATTTCAGATATGCAACATAAAAGATTCGTATTAGGTTGGTACTGAAATCCAAAATTGGTTGGTTAATTCATTTCATATCATGAAAATCGGATAAAGAACTACACTCCCATGTGTTGGAAGGCGGAAGCGAATTTACATAGAAATAGAACAAAATATTTTTTACTCCAACAATTTTCCTCTTCTGTTTTTTTTTTTTGATAAATTCTTCTTGAACCTTGTCTCCGAGTCTAACCAAATTCATTAATAAACTCGCTTAAAAAGAAGCCGACGTATCGCAGTTTGAAATGTTGAACAAGAAATTATTAGAATTTCTGAACGATACATTACATTTTTTGTTTTCGGCAATGCTGTTTTCGGCGCTTCAATTAGTTTGTGCCGCAGTAAGTTTTTTTAAGACTTCCCCTGCGTAACCATCAAAAAATGTCACGAAATGGCCGGCATCACGGCATTTGGCTGGAATTATTTGTGGTGCACATGTGACGTCGTATAGTAGTTGACTAAAAATATATCACGCGGAATTACGGCATTAATCGTGGCCGCTCATGTGACGGATAATAAGTTACCAAGTTATGGGGTGATGAAATCTTTTTTTAATCACAAAAATATATGGTATATATTTCTATCAGAATTAAATTTCTCATGTTCGGTCCAATGTTCCAAATAGCGAAATAATCCAGTTCTAACGCAACGTCGTCGTGATATTAATTAATACGACTAAGTTTATAAACCACTGGATAATAATAGCTTCGGCGCATTTAGTTGTTCAATTCTTTGAACGTGATTTTGCGCGCTGTTCGTTTGCTTTCAATTTCTTTGAGGAATTGTTCGATGTAATTGATACACGACAAAATAAAATGTATTTTATACCTAAAATAGAAAATAGGATATATATTTGCAAAAGAAAATCTTTTTCCACTTTTTTTTTTAAAAAAAAAATTAATCTACGATACCAGAACCGCAAATACATTATAGTCAATAACCGTAGTAAATAAACTAAATAAACTCAGTTTATCCCGTCTCAAAGGTACATCTAATTGAGTATGTTCAAATAATTTCTTCATGTTCTATTCATCCATTCAAATATAATTCAAATATTTCAATCACCAATTGCGTTGCTTCGATGAAATTCCAATTATTCTTAATAACTCGGGCGATATCACTAGTAATAATTACGATGTAAATATTTGACTTTATGAAATGCTTTCATTTGTACAATAAATTCCACCTTACACAATATATTCCTAAAGAAATCTCCATATTCACCAAATCCACAGTTTTGACATGATATATTTAAAATATAATTAATTGAAAGAGAAAACGATTTCTTTTCAAAATGTATGAGATAATACATACAGTGCTTTCAATTTTCAAAAACGTGTAACCAAATTTATGCACCTTGGCGAACTATCAAAGGAAAGCGGTTTTATTTGTGACACAAAACAACACCGACATCCACTATAAATGACAATATCTATTTCTGAAAAACTTTAATCGTATATTTTTCTTTTTTTTTTTTAAGAAAGAAAAAAATAAATAAAAAATGGCCAGGGGATTCTCATTAGAACAAGATTTGAAAATATTAATCAATAATCCAAAGTACAGAGATGTAGAAATCTTGTGTGAAGATGGAAAGAAATTTTATGGATGTAGAGCGATTTTGGCAGCACGTTCAGAAGTATTTGATAGATTATTATATAATGGAATGAGAGAAAGTTATGAAGAACAAATTTCATTTCCTCAAATTAATTCTTCCGGATTCGAATTAATTCTAGAATATTTATATACTGGAACGATTAATAAAAAATCCTTATCAACAACAGATAATATTATAGAAGTTTATGTCGCCGCAGATTATTTTCAATTAAGCGATCTTCAAAGAACAATCACGGAAATAGTTAAGGATACGTTAGAAAAGGATTGCGAGAATAATTTCTTGCCCGAATTATTATCAAAAGCTGTGGATAAATTTCCCACGCCTAATGAAAATGCATTGCTTAATCTATTAATAGAATATTTGTCTAAAATTCCTTTATATATGATCGAGTATGATCGATTATCTTTTTCGGCTCTTCAATATTTCTTAACTTTTACATATGAGAAGGAATATTCATTTGTTACAACAGAATATGAAGTGTTAAGATATAGTGTGATCATGGTTGCTAAACAAATTTCCATTGATGTGGCGAAAGTGATTGAAAATCATTTACCAAATTTAATTAAATTGGATGATATAATTCAAAATGATTTTATGAAAATTGATGAAATCTTTCATGCTCACCATCATAGGATCGCTGAAGAATTAGAACCTTTACTTAAATTTATTGATTTTAAACGAATTCACGGAAACATTTTGAGAGAAATAATCAAACCTTTAAAAATCATTCCAGAAACGGTTCTATTGGATGCATATCAATACCACGAAAATTCTAAATTATGTGAATTTCGAGGAAGTTTATCATTATTTTTTAATACATCGGACCTTGTATGGGATGAGACAAGGTGCGGCTCGAACCTTATCATTGAAGATCATGGAAACTTAGTTAGTGCTCGAAACGTGAATTCCTTTGTGTCAGCTACTCATTGTGCAGGAACCAAAGTTTGTTTTAAAGATAAAGGTATATATGAATGGGATATTATTATAGAAAATGACGGTGAGTATTCATGGATTGGGGTTTGTAATCCTGAAGGTTTCAAATATGATTGTTGGGCTGGAAATCAACAATCAGCGTGGATATTAGGTTCAAATGGAAGATGTCTTCATGATAAAAATGGAGTATTGTATTGCTCTTCATTTGGAGATGGTGATGTTATAACCATTCATTTGAATATGAATGATAGAACTTGCTCGTTCTCTGTCAATGGAAATAAGTACCCTCCCGTTTCTTCATGGAATAATTTGCCATCCAAACTAATGCCTATTGTATCACTAGCATACCCTGGTAAATTACGTATTAATCCTCATTCAATTTCAGGGTAAATCCAATTTTGTTAGAGGTTTTCTAATTCCAGAAAGAAACCCTTTCATTTTGAGTGTAACCATGCTTGCTTTTGTAGAGGCGAATATATCTTTTTCATCAGGTGACGGCATAACATTGCTGTGGAACTATACCGATTTCTTCCCTTTGCTTAAAAAATCTATACCACGACTTATTTAGAATCTTTTTTTCTTTGAAAATTTCCGGGTCAGAATGAAGAAAGTTCCAATATTTAAAGATTCTCTTCTTTGATTGTATTTATATTTCAACTTAGATAGATGACGTATTAATATATTGTCCTATTCAATGAAAAAATAATTTCGTAATTTTTCCAACAAAATGGCATAAAGAGTTATTTATAAACAGAAAAAATTTTTTATCAAAATTGTTCATGAAATTGTGCCTAGTCTATAATCATTACTTTTGTCACAGAAAGTTTTCTTATAAAAAAGGTTTTATTTAATCATAACTGATTTTAATATATAAAAAAGTTTTATATGGTATATTATAAACAAAATAATTATAACTAAATAAAATAAAATTGCAATAAAACTAAATTGATTATAAACTTTTATTTTAAATTTTTATTATATTTTATAAAAATCAATTAAAATGAGCTATTTTAATATTTAATTTAAATCTTACTATTTTTATTATTATAATTTGCATAAACATTTTAAATTTAGTTTTAGTAGGCAAATTTGTCTGCAAATTTTAAAAAAAAAATTTTTATTTATTAATAAATATAAAATATTAATTTTAGTTATATAATATTTATATAAAAATATAATTTAATATATATTTTATTAACAACCATTCCCGATGATTTTTTTAAATGACATTTCTATTATAATGCAATATGCAAATCATGTAATTAATGCATTATTTTATTAGCGATATTAAAAATATATACATAAATTATAAGTTTTACAAATGCAATTAAAATCGAAACAATTATATAATACAACAAATCTAACAGAAAATAAACATTCAAAGTATATCCATTTCCTTTACAATTTTTACTTGGTGTAGTATATTTTCTTGCATTATGTCTATGTTTAAGACTATTCTAACATGTATAGAAGAGTATAAAAGTATTGACCACTTTTGTAAAACATTTTACAAAATAATTAACTTAATAATTCTTTATTTTTTTTATTTTTATCAAATACAGATTAATATTTCATTAGTTCTCCATTAGCTTCAAGAACAGCTTGAATATAACGCAGTATTAACTTGATTAAATTATAGTAATATTCTACAGGTACCACATCTCACTCCTTTTTAACCACTGTTCTAACTGCCTAACACTTGATGGCTGAGAATCTCGTTGACGGATCTTGACCTCAATATATTTTCTATTGGGTTGATATTGGGACTTTAAGCCAGTTAGAGAAGTACCTCAACATTTGAGGATATGAGGAATGAATGTATGACTCTTATGGTATGCACAGGTGCGTTGTCTTCTTGAAAAAAATATTTTTTGACCTTTTTTACATGAAATTTAACTGTAGAAATAGCATAATTAGCCAAAACATTACAGTGCGTAATTTCAGTAATATGACCTTCTAAGGATACCAAAGGACTCAAGCCAATCTAGGAGAAACACCCCAGAATATGCGACCAAAGCTCTTTTAGACTGTAGCTGTAATGCAGTCTTCATGAAACTCTTCAGAAGGTTTGCATCATACTTGTCTAAAACCTGAAGTTCTAAATTGTATATAGGTACTCTTGTCTACTGTTTAATTTTCGTAAGTATGAGCTCACAAATAACATTTTTCTTTATTACTTTCAGAAATTGAAGGAATGAAACAAGGAATTTGGGAATGGAAATTTTCTTTGGCTAATTTATTTCGAATGATTTATATAAAAATGGATTTGTTTGTTTCATTTATAAAATTTAAATATATTTGAAAAAGGGTTTAATGATAGATTTTTTATTTCTAACGACCAAACTTTTGAAATATTTACGTTCAATTTTGTAAGAATTTGTGATCGACCTAAACGTTTCTTTAAAAGGCTTTTTAACTCATATAACTTTCAAACATGTTAAATAGAGAAACAAAAGCA